CACATACACACAAATAGATAAAGCTCATTGTATCTTCTTCAGTGTGGCCTCTAGGCCTTGTTGTACAAACCTCAACTTTGTCCTCAGGAAGTCTTGCTGCAATTGTTTGAGAGGCAGCTATAGGAAAAGTGTCCTCCCAGTCTCAGCGTAGAAGTATAGGGCTTCATGCATTCTCATTTCAGTACTCCCAGCAGAAAGCATAGAACTTCATTTGATGCATTTACTTTTTACTTCATTTAAATTTATTCAATTCAGTTCTTTATAACCACAGCTTTGAAATAAAAGTGTGACTCTAAAGAAATGAAACTGATTCTTTAGCCAGCACATTAGAATTTAAGCATTTGATTCCGTATTCTTGTTAGGAGGCCATCTTCTTATTCCAATTATCAAGACATTTTTGCATCTCTTCTTTGGAAGTGGCTTCAGAAACACATTTATGTGCCACATAAGACAAGCAGACAGTCCTTGATAATCAGCTTCCTTTCTTAACTAAGAAAGGACAATACTCACATTGAGCAACAGATTTGCTGCCAATAGACTCATCTATTTGTTCAACAAATATACACTGAGGCCCAGTCCTGTGCTAGACCCACATTTGTTTCCAAAAATCAAACAAAAGGTTTTAAAATGTCAGTGTGCAGGATGTTTACAACATACGGGCTCAAGCTGAGGAGACAGTTTCAAAATAAGTTCTCAAAATGTTTGCATAATAGCAACTTCGTTAGAATATGGTCATTAACATTACAGAAAACTACTTTCATTCATTCAAGTATTTGAGCATTTAGAGATAAATAGACTAATGTTAAAAATTAGTTACATTATTAAATAGGCACACCATATAAGGTATGTATATGAAAGTATGCATGTATGCACATAAAACTAAATACATATATATGTATGTTACATACAAAGTAGATTCTTAAAGCTGGAGGGGAGAAAAGTTGTGCAAAACTGTATTACATAAAGAAAAAGGAAGGGTAGAACAAAATAAAAATAGTTCACTAAAATATAGACTTGTCCCCAATACTTTAAAAATAATCAAGAGAAATAGAAAACTCATTAATCACTTGTATCTTAATGGACTTAACATGACTATAGGTTTAATTGGACGAAAATGAAGTGAACATTAATGAAAATTACAAAATTCAAAACTATAACTGCCCATTCACATTTGAAAATTAAGATTACTATGTAACACATGGGTCCACTTCCTAACAGCTGCTTGCATTATGGAAATTCAGGGAAGAGTCAATAGCTATATAGAAACTACAGCCACTATAGCTACCTCCAGACCCATTTTGCCATTCACAAGCCTTGCTTTCCTGACAGCTCTCAACGTCAAAACAAGTTCTTTCTCCCAAAAAGAAAAAAAAAAAATGAAAAAGAAAATTTGATACCCAACTTCCCAGGCTTAAGCAGTTAGCAGGAATAATAGCAACCACCACACCATTACTTAGAGTTGCCACTTGCTAGCTACTGCATTAACCCATTCATTCCTCCCGGCAATGTGATAGGTACACACACACAGGAAGAGTAAAGGAAGGCAAGGTAGATAGTAAGGACAACACAAGGAGCAGAGAAGGTTCGAGGGGGTTCTGCAGACATGGTGGGGAGAAGCAGAGGCAGTGAGGAAAGAGAATTCTTCCTGCAGTCTGGCAAAGAAAATCCTGTGCTCACCAGCTGAGGTGCAAACGGACCCCAAACACCACCAAAGTGTAGCACTTCACTGCAAGTTCAAGTGAGGCCACAACAACAGAAGCTACCGAAGCCATTTCAACCAGGTATATGCAAGTGGCAGGACAGGAGCAGATCTTTTGAATAAATCATCCTCCCATATGCTATCTATCTATCTATCTATCTATCTATCTATCTATCTATCTATCTATCTATCTATCTATCTATCTATTTATTTTTCTGAGATGGAGTCTCACTCTGTTGCCCGGGCTACAGTGCCGTGGCGTCAGCTTAGCTCATGGCAACCTCAAACTCCTGGGCTCAAGCAATCCTTCTGCCTCAGTCTCCCGAGCAGCTGGGACTACAGGCATGTGCCAGCACGCCCGGCTAATTTTTTCTATATATTTTAGTTGGCCAATTTATTTTCTTTCTATTTTTACTAGAGATGGGCTCTTGCTCTTCTTGCTCAGGCTGGTTTTGAACTCCTGACCTTGAACAATCTGCCTGCCTCGGCCTCCCAGAGTGCTAGGATTACAGGTATGAGCCACCGTGCCCAGCCTTCCATAGGCCTTTTGTATAGACCCAAACAATGAAGGGCAAAGTATATAAAAAGTCATTAATGAAATTAACAGAGAAAGTGGACACTGCACATGATTTGCAAACAAAGAGCATAGGAAATTGAAAACTGATGGGCACATACTGCGCTAGTCACCCTGTATGATAGCAACCTTACACCAAAGCAGCTGTTCAAATACTTTTGCAGAATCTGAGTCACTGAGGAAACTAATTTGGTGCCATATGATGCACCTGCCTAAATTAGAGGCCCCAGGCCACATTCTGTGAGTGTGTGTTGATAAGAGCTCAAGAGGCCCTATTTCTAACCTAAAGGCTAACCTAAAAGAAAAAAGATTACTTGCAACCTAATTAATCATCCCAGCCGTGCATGTTTTCATAAACTGAGTCAGGGCCTTAGAGGCCATCTGCAAATGAAGGATTCTACCATCTGATACTTTCCTACACGTGTACTTGGGAAGATCAATGAAACACTGGTGTCTGGGCACTTTGAGGATAACAACAACCATTTTTCAAGTTAGCTCTAAAATCTTCTCATCCTCTCAACCTTTGGGAAGAGCCAAACAGAAACACTTCTCACATTTTGCTTGGCCCTAAAGCAGCAGTTCACTAAACAAGAGCAGTGACAGATCTTGTGCCCTTTTTCTTAAAAACAAATACCAGTTAAGTAAGCAAGCCATTCCACCCTAAAGAAGTTCTAATATCTACCCCCTGCACTCTGATCACAATTATCAATGCCAAAGAGACTGAATACCTGCTAAGAGCTACAATGTGGACTATGCACCTCCAAGGATCATATTTACAGGAATCCTTTGATGGAACTGTAGCTTCCTTTTTTCTAGAACCATCCCAACAACGATGAATGATCACTTACTTTTAGCACTCACTTATAGGAATTAATCGTGGCACAAACTAAAACCATGCCAAATTAATTTTTTTGTGAAAAAAGTTATTAGTTTAACCCATTTTTGTTTTAAAATGAAAAATTAACTCCAATGGCAAGCATGACAAAATATAAATATTGACTTTTACATTTCTGTTTAACAGCTTCGAAACCCAATTTAGAGCATTCATTCATCAATAGAGTAAAGGGAGATAATTCTAATCAATAAATGCCTAATGTTATGGTACCTCATTGCCCTGATGCTCACAATTTTAAACTTCAGGCTTTTACCCCTGCAAATCTCTGTTGAACACTGAATCTAGTATTGTCATGCTCAAAGCTATTCAAAATGTATTAATGTCTTTAAGAAATTTAAGAAATTTAAATCTGTGAAAACACTCATTTTGTACCTACCTTTCATTTCAGAGATGGCTTAGTCAATTTGGAATACAGAAAACTTCAACAGTCTGAACATCTTTCCCTATAAGTAGGGCCCTAGTCCTGAGTTTTAAGGGAAAGAATGCTGACAAATAGATCAGACTGCACAGGAAATTAATCAGAACTATGTTTTTAAAAGCAAGGGGAAAAAAAGGGAAATACAACCAAAGGCTTACAAGCCTGAATGCAAATAAAAACTGCTTCAAGATAATAAGAAGAAAAATAAGCTGGACATGGGTTTAGACATAGGTTTAAATCATTCAGATCCTGGTGAGTTTTCTACACTATATTTCATTTATAAACTATTGGTATAATCTCCAAAATACATCTTCCACATATAAAGGGCTTAGAGAAAGTTAGAGAATTGCTCTGAGGAGTCCTTAGATTTAAGGAGTCACTTTGTGCAGGAAAAAAAATGATTTGGGAAGTAATTTAACTTCATTCCCCCACTGCCAGCCCCCCGCTCAAATGAACAAATCATCCCTGTGCCCATAAAAGCCCTCCTAGGCAAAAATCTTCAAAGGGACTCATAGGGTTTGCTGGGGGCTGGCAGAGCGCCTGGTTAATTGGGGGACAGATGCTGTTAAAACCTCACACTGAGTCACTGATGACCACTGGGAAGAACAAGGATGGTGCACCCAGCTTAACAGCAACCTTCTTACATATGCATGATTTACTTCTTATATTGTAATTTTTATATGAACCCTCATAACCTCAAGCAAGCAGATAAAAAAAGGATGCAAAGGAGAAGCAGAGTCTTCCAAAGACCAGGGCATTTCTGGTATTGGAGTGAGACAACCCAGGCTCACTCACTGGGTGAACTCAGGAAGTTACTGGAAGTCCTCTTGGATCCTGTTTTTGGTTTTGTTTTTCTATAACGTGCAGATGACAATTTTACATCTATGTCATAGAGGTGTTCTGAGAATTAAATGGGTAGTGGGTGTGAAGCTCTTTGACACAGTTCCAAGCCAAATTAAGCACAATATGACAAAAGCCACTATTATTTTAAAGCTGATGTTGCTTTCACATTTAAGACAATTAATTTTTTTTATAAATCAACTGTTAGCCAGGATCAAAATTTAGAAATAGATTATTAGTAACTCAGGGAGGGAAAAAATTGTATTTTTTGTTTTTCAACTAAGAAGACTCAATAATGCTCACAAACTTTAAGTTTCAAGTACACCAATCTCGTGTCACTACCAAGGAAGAATCTTACCCCTCCTTCGCCCATGTCTCCTGAACAGACGGTAACTGACTAACATGCTGCATTCCTGGAAGATTCTTCCTTAGCAATGACACAGTGAGAAACAAAAGAACAAAATGTTCCCAGGCCCTGTGGCATTCTGGCTTGTTTTGATATTAGTCCTCAAGTGAGAATTAGAGATTTGATCATCAGAGGCCTTATTTTAAAAAGAAGAGGAAGGCATAGTACCTCTAATCGTTGTATCCGTCCCTTGAAAAACATGAAGAGGGAAGAATTGGGGTAAGCAGCTTCTTTTTTGAGGAGAATTTCCTTAGCTTCATCCAGGCCTGCTTTGTTATCACTGCCGTCCAAGGCAAAAAACGGGCGGACCACGGTATGGTACCAGAGCAGCGCTAACCTAAAGGAAGAGGGAGCGTAATATTGAGCAAATCATTTTTCTTACGTTGTTTCTATTTTTAAAAAAATTAGCACATGTTCTTCCAACACACACGCTTTCCAAAAAAAAACTTACTATGCAGTTTTTGAAGAAGTAAAATCAGAATGTCTTTCCCCATTTTAGTTTTGTCAATATTTGGAAAACTGCAACTTTAGCACAACATCTAAATCATCACATATATACCCTTCCATCAGGTGAGAAAACAATAAGGTAAGAGAAGCATTTAGCTTTTCTGAACCTTCTGGATGGATCGGTGAAGAGATGACTGATAAAAATCTCTGAATTCTACACCCTGCTCATCAATGCACACATTTGAAATAAGAACTGGTCACCATGAATTTACCATCCCATAGTAAGAAAAGCTTTACTCCTTTTGCAAAAGGAAAATGTTGGCTTTCCTTATGTTCACAAAGGTTAAGGCATAAGCCTAGAACTCAATTTTAAATATAGAAACCATAACCACAGACACAAGTGATACCACATTAGTGACAGGACCATGACAGCATCCTGTCAACTCTTGCTCTGGCCTTTGAGGATGTTCAATTTAAAAGACAAGCTAATAAATAAATTACTTAAAATTCCCTTACTTAAAACTCATTACTTTCTAGAAAATGCCATGTTAAACTAAATAAACAAAACAAGTTCACTGGGATTTGCTTTAATAGAGAAAAGTGTGTAACCAACATATCAAATATTTTTATGTAAATGAAAGTTCTGGTATGCTCATAAATTTTTCTCCTGTGGAGCTCATACTACATTATTAACTCCATTCATTCCTTTCTCAGATACAAACACAAAATTATATTAAGATATATATAGACAGATGATCACAAGTTACAAATCTGTTCATTCAAATTAATAAAGGACTACTGCTTGTGTAAATGAGTTTGGGGAGGCACAAATATTTTTTAAATGAAACATTAATGATATTTTTAGTAGCTACCAACAAGGAGTTAACATCCAAATTTCTCAATAGTGACCCAAGTAGAAATAGTGCTAAGATCCTCTGTGACATCAAGATTTTTGGGGAAAATTTTGACAAATGGTATAATGTTGGACAACGAATATCTGGTCATTAAATCACAAACGGTAGATATTTACCAGACTGAAAAAAAATCACATCACTTTTAACTGATGTAGAAATGGGTGAATCCTCGCTCTAGATAGTTACGTCAGCTTCCCCACGTTCTCTGATTTAAATAGTTGTTGTTTATGTTTAGACTGAACCACATAACATGACTTAATTTAGTGGAACAGCACAAAACATCCAGGTCACATATAAGAAACAAACTGACCACCTATAATCACCCAGCAAAATTACCCAACATGAGGATTCTTTATAAGAATAAAAATTTCAGAACAACAGAAAAGGCTTATTTTTATTTATTTATTTTTTTGTCTCCTAAGTGTAAAAATCAGGATCATGAATCTCAATGACTCTGGTCAAAATCAAAAGAACCGCTTAAAAAAACCATTTGAGGTTGAAAGATAAGGTCACTTTACCAGTTTACGATACAGGAGTCATGAGACTTATGAACAGTGCCTTGTCCCCTAATTAAAGTCAGCACTGCCACCACCACCACGGAACACGGTCCTAGGTGTTGCATGAAGACATAAGGCACACGTCCTGTCAACCAGCCATCATTTTCCCTGAAGTTTCCTTTAAAGTCTTTGTGGTTTACTTACTTTCAACACTATATTATCTACCAAAGCATTGCAATATAGCTACTCACGTAGCTAAAGGGGCCTTCATGTCCTTACTTTCGCTTGCATACATCAGTGAAGAAAGCCCCTGTAGGCGGTCTCCAGGAAAACCCAGCAGGTTGATGATTTTGAGCAGGTTTGGGGGCACCATGGATATGCAAAGGTGAAAAAGGCCATATCCAAAGCTAACAGCACCTTTCAGTCTGTTTAGAGACTCCTCAGACACCCCTTCAGCCACAATGTGATTATCATTTGCAGCATCAGAAGGCAAGGACTCTTCAGTTAGCTTCTTCTGATGCAGCTCCTGAAGGGCATTGATGTCCAGATAGCATTTATTGTAAATCTTCCAGGCCTTCCTAAGGATCCACCCACCTTTTATATAGGCTAAAAAGAGAAGGAGAGAAAAGCATTCAAAAATAAGCCTTCAAAATAATTTTTGTATTTGAATAGTAAAGGATATTGAAAAATAACCCAAAAGTCATGCAAAAATTTAAAAACATAAAAATTGTTAGCTATCACTGCATCCTTTTTTTCTTCATAGTGCTTACTTAAATGCCTTATTTCTTGTTGGTTTCCCTTCACTATGCTAGATGACCATTGGTAAAAGCCACATGATTTTTTTTTGTTCATTGTTTTATCATGCCCCTCATGCAGTAGCTAGGGCAGAGTATGTAATAGATGCTGAAAGAAAGAAAGAAAGAAAGAATGAATGAATGAATGCATCACTTGAACCCAACTTTTTTTTCCCATGTGTTCTGTGAAAGCCTCCACCACTTCTCTTAACTACCCTGGTGCTTTCCTACTAAACCTCTTTTCTAAATCATGCATTTGTCTACCCTGTGTTTCCTTCTTAGCCTAGTTTACCATTAAATTTATACCCAAGCACCAAGCATGGCATCTTGCCACAAAATAAAACAAGCAAACAAAAAGAAATTCATTAATATTTACTGGGTAAAAAAAAAAAGGCTGTTTATTACCAAAAAAGTAATTCATGTTAAATACAGAAACGCAAAGAATCCCCTATTTGCCTATTTGTCTACTGTGCGCCTTTAACATGCCTTATCAGAATGGCTTCATCTGGTCTATGACAATGGCATTTACCCACGGCCCCAACCTAGAGGGACCCCCAGTGAGGAGGGTAGCAAAGAAAAAGTCACTCACTGCACATCAGAGGGTGAAAATCTGGTATTTAAGCAACTTGTGTTATTTCCCATTAGGCCGATTTTTCTTACCACAGCCCATTCAAGAACATGGACACAAAGACGGCTTCTAGAATAAGAGGCAAGACGTGGATTTACCGCCATCCCTGGCCCACTGGCCCTCAGCCGAGCCCTCAGGACCTGGCTGTCAACTCTCCTAAGAACATTTCACCTTCAGGTAACCAGTAGGGGTGGGGAGAAGTCAATTTATATGTAATTCTCTGAGAGCATCATCACCACATTCTTGAGGAAAGGGCTGTCTGTAGGGAATTCTTTGTAGAATAAAGCTCTCGTAACCACCGGAGAGCTTACCCACAAGGCACCGTCACTAAGACGATGCCGGCTCTGACCCCCACGTACAATGGGACGACATGAACTGTCCCAGACTTCCAGTCCTTTAGAACAGTCCTTAGAGCAGCGGGAAATACGGTTTTAAAATGTTCTTTTTTTTTTTTAATTTCAGAAAATACATCATTATAAATAAAAATTTGATTTACAAATGCCCAGTGTCTGAATTGAAAGTGATGTGAGAATATATGTGTGTGCGGAAAAGCGATGACATAGTAGGCCCGACTGCTACCCTTCGAGAGGACTGCTAACAAGGCTGGCCCTGGCTGAACCGGGACTTGCAAAGTTCTCAGCACTCCCAGAACTGGTAAGAGTGGCTCACTGTGTGTGCCTAAACCGTGCAGGCAATACGGTTTATACTGAACACCTGCTTTACTTCTGGGAGTCTGGAATTTGAGTATGTGCCAGGCAGGGGGGTGCAGTAAAACTCTGGCGCTCAGTCTCTAAGGGATTCGCTGGCTGGTAACATTTCATTTGTGCTGTCACGACTGGGCGCTGTGGGAATTGAGTCTGTCCTACGTGACTCACGGAGAACAGATCCTCGGAAGCTTGTGCCTGGTTTCCCCTGGGCCTCACTCCATGTGCCTTTTCCCTTTCTTATTTTGCTTCTATGCTTCTGTGCAAGAAATCACAGCTGTGAGGATGCCTATATGCCGAGTCCCCAAGCAAATCACCAAAGCTGGGGTGGTCTTGGGGACCCCCAATCCATGGGTGTCAAGCTATTGGTTCACTTAAGCATATCAATTTTCTGACAAATGACACCCATACCTCCTGTGGGATCACAGTTAAAAACACAACCATGTTGCAAGTTCGGGTGACTCATGGCCTACAGTCTACATACATCCACTGAAAAGAATGCTATAAGGTAGAATGAATGAGTAAATAAATTAGTCTATAAAAACTTTTTAAAAAGGGAACTACTTGTGTTACTTTATAATGATAAACTAATACACATTTAAAACAATTCTTTTTCATTTGGTTTAATTTAACAGAACTATTTACAGTAGAAACACTACATTTCAGGCACTGTTCTGGGTGAATCTTCCTTTAAGAGGCTCAATGACTTTTTCCCTCCTAAATGGAAGTCTGATGGGAAAAGACAGGTTTGAGAATCCCTGTAGTGTCTTTGTACACTAACACAGTGGATTTTTAAGTTTTGGATTCATCCCACACGCCTACAAACAAAAAAGATAATTCTCAGTTATGGTCCAAAGAGCCAAAGATTTAAGAGAAAAGCAGAAAAAGAAAAAATAATAGGAAACGAATATATATTCTTGAAAACACAGAAGTCATTGGGAAACACAAAAACCACTGGGAAACACAAAAGTCTTGAAACACAAAAGTCATCTGAAAACAGATAATCATTGGCTACAGATAAAAAAAGAAAATTTACAAAACGCAAAAATATTCATCAGCTATTCCTTGAGTTTCTATTACATGCCTGGGACGTGTTTGGCATCTGAGGACAGGAAAGAACAAAAAACATAACCCAGGCCTCCAAATGCCCACAATAAATAAGAAAGGGAAACAAACATAAATGAAAAAATAAGCATATAACATATATATATTTATTTAAATGCTCCTCTAGGCCATATCAAAAAGACTGAAAACAAATAATGGTGAAATTATGAGTAAACCATCCTATTTTATTTTTTTTTGTCATTAAATTGTTTTCCATGTTAATTAAATTTAAAAGTGCAGAATAAGTATGGCAGGATTTCCGTATAAACTTTACCCCCTCCACCACCATCTCTAACTTGAAATTTGGAGGGAAAATGTAACTTCACGTTACCCTGATTTTCCAGGCTACCTTAGCCTTATTACAGGAAGCGGAGCTTGCATCATGGGAAAGGCAACATTCCAGAGGAAAGGAACAGAAATGTGAGTACGAAAGACGATGGGCAAGCTGTGCAGAGGCAGAGTGACACAGGGACACCCTGGACAACAGGGAGCATGTCCAGCTGAGGAGGGAACACCTGCTACCAGAGAGACGGAAATGTCTGAAATTGGGGTTGAAGAGATTGGGGTTAGAGAAATGAATTGTGACAATCCGGATCTCAGGTAGAATTACAGAAATGTATGATAGAACTGGAGACAAACATCAGAATCCAGCAGCTTCCAACTGCATGGAGCTCAGTCAACAAAACACGAAGTTTTAAAACCCTCATTTTTATAGGATAAAAATGAAAAGATTTCAACACATCTTTAATTTCATGCTTTTAAGATAGGAGTATCAGTGCTGATGTCTAAAAGCACATGTTAAAAGACTTGACAGGAACAAGCTTTAAGGCCCTTAATTGGAGCCAGGGAAATAAAACCCAAAATTTTGGACTGCGTCAAAGATTATAAACCGAAATATGTGCAAACAAAAACCTTATTACACACGTCAAGAGAGCTTTTGCTTTATTAAGGTTATTAAGTATGAAATATCTGATTTTCTTAAATACTAAGTTTAACAGTTGATATCGCTGACATTTTACTTTGACACTTCTTGTTTTATTTTATTGTGAAGTTACATCCTGAATCTTTTAAATGCAGAGTTTTGCTTGTGATTACCTTTCAAATTTGTTTTAGAGCAATTTCTGTGAACAGTACCCTCCTAGGCAAAACTCTTCAAAGGACCCATAGGGTTGCTGGGGCTGGCAAGAGCGCCGGTTAAGGGTGGGACAGAGGCTGTTAAAACCTCACAACTGTCAACTGAGACCACTGGGAACAAGGTGGCACCCACTAACAGCAACCTTCTTACATATGCATGATTACTCTTAATTGTATTTTTATATGAACCCTCATAACTCAGCAAGCAGATAAATAAAGGATGCAAAGGAGAAGCAGAGTTTCCAAAGACCAGGGCATTTCGGTATTGGAGAGAGACAATACCGGCTCACTCACTGGTGGAAACTCAGGAGTACGAGTCCTCTCTGGATCCTTTTTTGGTTTTGTTTTCTTAAACCAGATGACAATTTTAACTCTATGTCATAGAGGTGTCTGAGAACTAAGGGTAGTGGGTGTGAACTCTTGACACATTCCAACCAATTAGCAAGAACAAAGCCACTATTATTTTAAGTGATGTCTTCACATTTAAACAATTATTTTTTTTATAATCACTGTTAGCCAGATCGAAATATTAGAAATTAGATATATTTAAGTACTCAGGAGGAAAAAAAATTTGTGTTTTGTTTTCAACGTAAGAAACTCAATAATGCTCACAAACTTACGTATTCAAGTACACCAAAGTCTCGTGCACTACCAGGACAGACAGAACTTACCCCTCCTTGCGCATGTCTCCGAACAACGGTACCGACTAACTGCTCATTCCTGAAGATTCTTCCTAGCAGCACAGTGAGAAAACAAAAGCAACAAATGTTCCCAGCCCAGTGGCATTCTGGCTTGTTTGTAAATCTCAGTGAGAATTAGAGATTGATCATCAGAGCTATTTAAAAAAAAGGAAGGCATAGTACCTCTAATCGTTGTATCCGTCCCTTAAAAACTGAAGGGAGAAATGGGTAACGAGCCTTTTTGAGGAGAATTCCTTAGCTTTCATCCAGCGCCTGCTTTGTTAAACTCCGTCCACAGCAAAAAACCGAGCCGGACAGGTAGTACCAGAGCAGCGCTAACCTAAAGGAGAGGAGAGAGAAATTGAGCAAATTTTTTCTACGTTTGTTTCTATTTTAAAAAATTACACATGGTTCTTCCAACATATACGTCTTCCAAAAAAAACTTACTAGCAGTTTTGAAGAAGTAAAATCAACATGTCTTTCCCATGTTTAAGTTTTGTCAAATTGGAAAACTAGCAACTTAAGCACAACACTAAGATCACACATATGAATCCTTCCATCA